CAAGTGCATGTGACCCAAGTTGTGATATCATGACAGCTTTCGCTGTAAAATGCGCATTTGTTCTTTAACGGTTTTGGAAATTTGCGCAACTATTAGGGCCAATATTTTTGGTGCAATCGCATTCGTGATCATGTGGTGTAATCTAGTGAGCATTTGAGCATACATACTACAGGGGAAGCCATGCTATTATGCTTTGAAACATGGCAGTATTTTCATCTTCGACGTTCTACTAATAGAGTCCAACAAAGTCCCAAACTACTGAATTACGGTGCTAGTTTATTTTTCTAATTTCACGCGATGTGTTTAGGCACACCGGCAGTGGCGGCGGACAAGTGCGTGTGACCCAAGTTGTGATATCATGACAGCTTTCGCTGTAAAATGCGCATTTGTTCTTTAACGGTTTTGGAAATTTGCGCAACTATTAGGGCCAATATTTTTGGTGCAATCGCATTCGTGATCATGTGGTGTAATCTAGTGAGCATTTGAGCATACATACTACAGGGGAAGCCATGCTATTATGCTTTGAAACATGGCAGTATTTTCATCTTCGACGTTCTACTAATAGAGTCCAACAAAGTCCCAAACTACTGAATTACGGTGCTAGTTTATTTTTCTAATTTCACGCGATGTGTTTAGGCACACCGGCAGTGGCGGCGGACAAGTGCGTGTGACCCAAGTTGTGATATCATGACAGCTTTCGCTGTAAAATGCGCATTTGTTCTTTAACGGTTTTGGAAATTTGCGCAACTATTAGGGCCAATATTTTTGGTGCAATCGCATTCGTGATCATGTGGTGTAATCTAGTGAGCATTTGAGCATACATACTACAGGGGGAAGCCATGCTATTATGCTTTGAAACATGGCAGTATTTTCATCTTCGACGTTCTACTAATAGAGTCCAACAAAGTCCCAAACTACTGAATTACGGTGCTAGTTTATTTTTCTAATTTCACGCGATGTGTTTAGGCACACCGGCAGTGGCGGCGGACAAGTGCGTGTGACCCAAGTTGTGATATCATGACAGCTTTCGCTGTAAAATGCGCATTTGTTCTTTAACGGTTTTGGAAATTTGCGCAACTATTAGGGCCATATTTTGGTGCAATCGCATTCGTGATCATGTGGGGTAATCTAGTGAGCATTTGAGCATACATACTACAGGGGAAGCCATGGGGGGGGGGGGGGGAGGGAGGGGGGATCGGCCGCTTCAGAAACAGCTGCATGCGGTTGAGTCTCTTAGCGTTGAAACCAGGGAACATAAACGGGTATTCGAGCCATCGGCTCATGCTTGACGAGACAGTGCGTGCGCCAGCCATCGCGACGGCACCCTCACGGTCTAATTACAATTGCTGCTTGAGCGAACTCGCCCCCCCCCCCCCCCACACACACAAACATCTTCTCCTCCAGCGTTTTTTTTTAATACTCTTTCAAGATGGGCGGGGCGTTACCTCTCTGCTTGAGTATAGCAATCGACGGTAGGCTTCGCACGCGGGTTGTTGTTATCAGCTTCCGTGCGACTCAAATGTATCAGCTTGTTTCATATCTGTTTTAGCCACGTTCGTCGCAACCTCTCGCGTGCGTAAGAGGGACCCGCGGATAGAAGATACGACGGGCGGAGCGATGTTATCAAGTTTAACTTTATATAGAACACCACGGCGACGGCAAGAAACTACCGAGAGTGTCAATATCTTCTTCAGACCCTGCGTGCATTAAAAAAAAAAAAAAAAAAAACCCCGCCAGGGCTGCGCGGAAGGCGCAGCACAGTCACAGCGAAAGCTAGAAGAGCGGCCTTTCAGAGCCTTTTCAAAACACTAATTGGGCAACTACTGCAAGCACACTTGCTTGATACCTACAAGGCCATTAATAATGAACTTTTGGGTAGTAGGGCAGTATTCGCTATGCTATTTTTCGTCACTCTTCTGAGAAGTGTAGTGTCCGCTGAACACTCGCAAGAAATTTCGTGCCAATTGTTTTCACGTACAGATTATAGATAGATAGATATATAGATAGATAGATAGATAGATAGATAGATAGATAGATAGATAGATAGATAGATAGATTATTCGCATTGTGCGACGACTGGTTGTTCTTTAGCGTTTGAAAACACTGTATAAATCTTATTAACGTGATGCTTTCCCGCCATCAAGCCTGCCTAAGGCAAGTTTGCCACACGTCATAAGAGTTTATTTTCTAATTTCACGCGATGTGTTTAGGCACACCGGCGGTGGCGGCGGACAAGTGCGCGTGACCCAAGTTGTGATCTCATGACAGCTTTCGCTGTAAAATGCGCATTTGTTCTTTAACGGTTTTGGAAATTTGCGCAACTATTAGGGCCAATATTTTTGGTGCAATCGCATTCGTGATCATGTGGTGTAATCTAGTGAGCATTTGAGCATACATACTACAGGGGAAGCCATGCTATTATGCTTTGAAACATGGCAGTATTTTCATCTTCGACGTTCTACTAATAGAGTCCAACAAAGTCCCAAACTACTGAATTACGGTGCTAGTTTATTTTTCTAATTTCACGCGATGTGTTTAGGCACACCGGCAGTGGCGGCGGACAAGTGCGTGTGACCCAAGTTGTGATATCATGACAGCTTTCGCTGTAAAATGCGCATTTGTTCTTTTGCGGTTTTGAAAATTCGGGCAACTATTAGAGCCAATATTTTTGGCGCAATCGCATTCTTGATCATGCGGTGTAATCTAGTGAGCATTTGAGCATACATACTACAGGGGAAGCCATGCTATTCTGCTTTGAAACATGGCAGTATTTTCATCTTCGACGTTCTACTAATAGAGTCCAACAAAGTCCCAAACTACTGAATTACGGTGCTAGTTTATTTTTCTAATTTCACGCGATGTGTTTAGGCACACCGGCAGTGGCGGCGGACAAGTGCGTGTGACCCAAGTTGTGATATCATGACAGCTTTCGCTGTAAAAGGCACATTTGTTCTTTTGCGGTTTTGAAAATTCGGGCAACTATTAGAGCCAATATTTTTGGCGCAATCGCATTCTTGATCATGCGGTGTAATCTAGTGAGCATTTGAGCATACATACTACAGGGGAAGCCATGCTATTATGCTTTGAAACATGGCAGTATTTTCATCTTCGACGTTCTACTAATAGAGTCCAACAAAGTCCCCAACTACTGAATTATCACGCATTCATGTTTTTAATGGTTGCTTAAATATACAAAGGAAGGGTTTACGAATCATTGACATACGTCATGTAATCTTAGACGCAAGTATTATTGCTATCGAAAGCCATTTTTTAAATGTGCATTATAGATGGCGCTCGGTTTTAATATGTGCTTTTGTGTGTGCAAGTTGGCCAGTCTTACGGGGTTGGTATTAAGCTTTTCGGCTTTAAGTGTCGGTGCTTGTTTAACCGAGGAAAAGGCACAACTTGTTCTCGAAACAGCCATCTCGAATTACTCCTCAGACCTCTAATTGTCAGACTACGAGGCTGTTCATGCCCATTACCTCTCGTCAAAAAACGGTTGTGGTGCCACACTTGACCTTAAGCTACCTTAAAAACTGCAGAAAGCTAAAGTGCCTTCTCAACTTGGAACTGCCTGAGTAAGACTTGTCAGAGCTTGTGAATGACGTTTCTTTTCCAAGATGCCGTTACTCGGAATGTTCCCAGTATACAAAATTCTGGCGCAGCATCTTCCTAGGCATTACAGCCTCACGAAACTGCTACAAATAGTTTCACAACAAACGAGATTGCTTTTTGCGAGCCAATGTAAAATTTTGTTATAGGCGAGTCTTACTGTTTTTCCGCGCATTAAGACCCAGTGTGCACTATAATGCACACAGTGGTGTGCACATAAGGCAGGCTTGTTTTATTGTGCAATACTGTATGTGTGGGAGTTACAAAAAAAAAATGTCCTTCCTGCGCCCGTGTGGCCACAAATTTACTCGGGTCTTAGGAGGATATAGTTGCTATCGCGATAAAGTATCGGCCTAGAATTCACAATACTGTGGCGTGGGGGACGAGAGCAATGTTAGATGGCAGGAGAAACGTAAGGAGAAGGGGGACCGGAAAAAAAAAAAAAAGATTGAAGGGTTTGTAGGAAGATCACATTGTCGTCAATATCAGAATGTGCATGACTGCCACAAAGTTGATTGGCTGAATAAGCTCTGAATGGTGTTCTTGAATATGTACTCCGCTGCTGACAAGCTGACGCGCGAAATGTCCATATGACGAGATCAGGCAAGAATAAATGCATCAGTGAGCCATTAAACGCATTAACAAACAAAAAAAAAACATGCACATGTAACGTGATGCTTAAAGCTAAGCATAACAAAATATCGCTGTGACCAATGAAAAAAATATAAAACAGCACTTCACTGGTCGTTGTGCGATATGCATGTAACTGTCCAAACGAATGAAACGTCCTCGTTTCATTGCTTCGTTGCTGAAGTATATAATGATGCTCTCTCTTCTACCCGTGTCAGTGTTCCTCGTCGAAAACTTTCTTTGCAACGCGCACCCAATAAAAGCCAAGGCATACAATATTCTCAAGTCTCTCCCGAAGTATATGTGCGTCATGTCGGGGCCATAGAATACTATGTAGTTTTTGAGTGTTGTAACTCTGCAAGAGATCCTCTTCATCCGTTCTTCATTCATCTACTTCATCCGTGTTCAAATATGAATTTCCGCAAACGTCTAACTTGTCAATGCCTCACTGACGTTTGTCATGTTGTAACCCTGCCTGCTAATTATTCCGCTAATACAGCTGTTTCTTGTGGCAAGTCTACACATAAAAGAAGCGTGGTGACACTGTTGAGCAAAAACGCATAGTTGTTTGCTTTCATATTTGGCTGCCAGTGAACGCGGGAGAGAGAGAGAGAGAGAGAGAGAGAGAGAGAGAGAGAGAGAGAGAGAGAGAGAGATAGAGAGGAAAGGCAGGGAGGTTAACCAAGCTTGGCTCGGTTGGCTACCCTACACTTGGGGTGGGGGAAAAGGAGAATAATTCGTGTGTGTGGTATACTTACCTGTGCAGGATCGAAATTCTCCATGAGGATCATCTTTTGCGCGAAGATCTCTTCGTTGAGAATGAAGCAAGCCACTGCAGCTGCCAGAAGGAACATAACCGACTGCATGTCCCTCAAGTGATGATCCTCCCACGGTGAAAGCGAATTGAGGGACGTAGATGGCAACAATGTGATGCGAGAAGTATTTCTACAGCGTGTCGACTAGTTCTGACACCGATACTACGCTACGTTCGCACACGCGCACGCCAACCGTGTCGTATTATATAGAAGGCAAACAAGCGAGCAACATTACAAGCTGGCCAAACACGAACCACCTTCGAGACATGCACCGCTTCGACAACTTATGCGGCAATCCGCAGGCGCCGAATGTGGGAGCAGCCGCTTGACTCACAAATGTGCCCCTGAGAGTGTAGACAGAGCTGCTAGCGAAACTGCTGGTAAAAACCGACAGTCACAAAGAAAAAACAAAGGAAAGACGCGTACAGCTATGTATGAGGAGAAACGTGGTACTCGATGCATGTCCACTGAGGAGCTGCGCATTTGTTTTAGTTCGGGCATGCCATCAGCGGAGAGGTATCGTTGGTTTTTCTGAACGAGATGCACGTGCACACACACACAAAAATGACGCAACAAAGGTTAAAAGAGCGAACCTGAATGAAAGTCCCATCGACTTAGCAGCGAGTGGCGAAACTAATTTGTGTAGGCTTTTGTTTTCAGCCCGCCCGGCAAGGTTATGTGTGCTTAGCGTTGGTACGAGCAAAGGCTAAGTGCTTACACAAGCGTTGTCACGAAAGTAGGCGGAGCGTATTGGACTTCGAAGCCCGGTGCTGAGCAAATAAGGACGACAGCGACGAGTTGGGGTGTTTGCACAAGGCCGAGCTTGGAACCTTACAGGTGGTTTCGGCGGGCGGCAAAAGGCACACGCTCTTCGAGTGGCCAGAACAACTTGGCCTACGGCCTGTAAGTGGCTGAGTATACGCAGGGCCGCGAGCGACAGTGCTGTGCAGTGCACTGACTGAATACGTACGAAGTGCGCTCAGTGCAGTAATCACGTGACAGCGCCTTAGTGAATTAAGCGAAAGCTTGCTTCCTTAAGTTGTGCCTTGAGAGCGTTGGCGTTATTTCAATATCAGCCACCAAAAATAGAATCGTCGAAAGTTTTAGATAGACTAGACAATCGCCAATTGTCTGAAGACAGGGAATTGGGACACTGGCCGAGGCCGTCCTTGGCACGCAAGACATTAGGAGAGTTGTTGCGCTTCTTGCGGGCAAGTGGTCTTAAAGACAGAGTGTAAGCAGCGTCGTGAATAGTGTATACTGTTGTCTTTTTTTTCTTTCTCCTTCAACGTCTCTTTTCTGTCATCTTTTAATCCCCGTACTTCCTTCCCCAGCACAGGGTAGCCAGCCGGTCTGAGAACTGGCTATAGCCTCCCTGTCCTCCCATCTTCTTCCTCCTCCTCTGGTTTGTCCGTGAGATTTCCTAGGAATTCTAGCGAACCCTTCCTGAAATGTTCGTATACAACACCATGCATGGTTCGTAACAGTCTACCGGCTGTTGCTGTCAGAAAATGAAGTACGAAAACGACGTGAATGATGAATCAACAACATTATTTGGCCAAACATTGTTGTTAGTGCTCGCAGGCACCACACGAAACAGTTCCCTATAGTTGCGAAAAGCACATGTATCCAGCAGCTCCAGGCCCCTTTCCCTCGGTAGGGCGGGGCTGGATAACAAGGTCTCCCATCGCCCAAGAAGGTGGAGATTGGTGGTGTCGAGCAAATTTCTTCGAATAATTGTGAGCCCCCCCCCCCCTTTTTTTTTCTTCGTTTTACAATTAAAAAAATCTAACCTTGCCGTTACGAAACTATGTGAAAGAAGGACAGGTGTGGAAAAAATAAATAAAGTTAGACGTAAAAAGATTGCGTAAGTTTGTCCCAGCTCTGTTACGGGTAATACAGTCTGTGAAAACCTTAAATTAGATTGTGCGAATCCTCTAACTTCGGTTACATCATTAAAGAGCACTTCCGCGCAGTTTGACTCATTCCTAAAGTCAGGCGCCATTCTTTTCGACTCAGCAATTCGCCGTCTGTTAGTGGCTTATCCAAACACTCCACATGGAGCAGAAAGATATATGCAAAAGAAAGTTTGACTGCAGGCAATAGCCAAGCGTTCGAAAGGACAGAACAATGGGTCCAAGTTTTAACTTCGTCGTCCCCGAAGTTCCTCATTAAAGGTGAAACAAAGGTATGGTTTCGTAAGCCGTTAGGCGACTAAACAACAAAGCGTAATGCTCGGGCGAGAGGGAACGGATATTCAAACGCGCATCAAGCAAACAGTGACTCGCTTCCACTCAACCGCTCAAAAAATGACAAAACACGTCGACCCTCTAAACTAATTATACTGTCTTTTCTTCTCTCGCGACGACTACTGTCGGTGACGAAATACTCGGCGGAACCTTATTTTTTTTTTTTTACAGCTTACCTTATATTTACACATCACGTTCGTCTGACGAGCACGGCAGAGACGCGGCACAAACTTGCAAAGCGGCTAAAGGAACACGCGAAGTAAAGTGAAAGTGCAGTCAGTTATTGCAACACGGGGACGATGTGAATGTAGCTTGCGAACATGCGCGCCTATGGCGGTAACAGTGTGCGCACGCTGATGATTAATTAGCAAGTAGAAAGGCCATGGAGGACGCGCAATGGAGGGCAAAAGGCCGAAACAACGTGTATGGGGGAACAGAATGCGCAATCATGCGGCGTTTAACAATACAAGGCGCAAAGTGAGAGTATAAAGCTTCGCTTCACGTGACTTCTATCGCATGCGGCTGCACGCCGACACACGCGAGTACACGGAAAATAGAAAGATAGCGCACTCGCGTGCGCGGGTACGTGAAACAAGTTCGCGCCTTAACAAGCCGTAAGGGGGCGCTCTTATAGATTACCGTGCGGAATGGGGGTACGTGCTTCGTTGTTAATGAAGACGGAGATAAATAATGAAGACCGTGATACGAGAGGTGGATGTCTTAGAGTTACTCCTGTAAAGCTGATTAACGACTACCTAACAACTTCCCTTTTTTAATCTCATTTGTAAGCGTGTGCGCATGAGTTTTTGCGTTCTTTTCTTTTTTTTGCGACGACTCTGGATGGTTGTAATGCTGCTGTCGAAATAAAGTCGTCGAAATGTCAGGCGTTATTAGTAGTTAACACAGAGGTCTTGCACATGGCTTGACAAGTAAGTGAGCTTGTAAGACGAAACTGTATAACCACCTGCTCTTGTACGCGGACATCTTAAACATTTTTTTTCATTTTTAAATTAATTTCAGTCACCGGCGGTTTAAAGGCAAACAGATTTTTTTTTCTCGAAAAGCGTCCAATTATCTGACCGCAGCTCATTTTGCGAATTTGAGTATATCATTTTTTTCTGTATCTGTAATCTTTTTTTTGCTTCTACGATTCCTCAACCTTGAAACGTAGCACCAACAAGCTCAGCTTTGAAAAGCAATAACGTTCATGGCAGTAAGCGATGCGTAAAACGAGACTGTGCACACAGAAAGGAATGAAAACAAGTGACTGTCCGCCCTTCTTGCGGGCGAAATCTTGTTTCTCGCGTCGCTTGCTATCCACGCCAAGTGACCCAGATAAGTGTACGTTTCGCAAGATCGTTCTATATTGCCCTATTTCATACTTCGCCTAAGCCGTACACTTTGTTAACACTTTGCCACTAATGAACTGCGTTTTATAACAAGCCTGGTTCACATCACTTTACATAAGTGTTTACGTTTCCTTCATCCTGTGCAAAATAAGCGGTATTAATGGGTAAACTATAGTATTTAAGTTCAGGAACAATGTTTGCGGAGTCTCGCTGTGCCTATAGCTTTCGCCACTGGCACCTATCTCATTGATAGCGATTTCATTCGAGAAACCATGTTCGGCGTAATGCCAATTCGTACTTTTTTTTTTACTATTATTCGTTGTCAGAGTGGAGTGACCCCACCCGATTGACGGCCGAACCCGCATATCGCTGCGAGCCATGTGATGAAGGAAGGAACATTATCAAGCAAGAAATGCACAGCAGTCAGCGGCCATTTTCTACGCTGAACGTAATTAACGTGCACTTCAGCACTGATCCGCGTCAAGCTTAATTACTACTTGCTGCTAATGTCCAAATGCTATATATATATGAAAAAAATAAATCCGTGCACACGGCAGCACCGAGAAATCGAATCGAAAATCATAGAGCGTGCCCCTGTTTTCAGCGAAGCACGAACGTCATTCGCGATGCCGCTGTAATTTGACAACCTCGCTTGGCTGTGAAGTTTCGCTTCCGGGTTCGACGTCGACGTTCCTCCGCACTGCACACCGGCGGCCGCACTTCCAGAAAGACTCGTAAAGCCGATTTACTTGGATCCCTCGGGCTCTCCGACATGCAGCTAACTCACGCAGACGAAAACAGCGAACGACACTTATTACGAGCGGATAGTATAGACCGAAAAGAAAAAAAAAGTAAGGCGATTATTACGGACCTGTAATCATCTCTACGCGATCCTCATCACACGCGTGTCTTTCTTCGTAATCACTCGGGGAGACGCGTCTTCGAGAGTCGTCGGAGCACGCGTGACCTTCGACCCGTATTCGCATGCTCACGGTAAAGGTCGGGGGCTTATCGTCATGCCACGTTTGAATGCACGCGCATCACGTGAATAGCGTGAAATTTTTCTATTACTACAGTTCTGTCATTTTTTGTTTATTAGAATGAACACGGTGATAATAAGGTTTTCTTTCATTTATTTATTTTACTTACAAATACTGCAGGCCCTACTCGGGCCCAAGCAGGAGTGGGAATATCATTAAAAACAATACCAACAATAATGCTTAGAACTATCGACAACTTAAGTAGTAAACCGCAATTAAGAAGCAAAAGAAAATGAATAAATAAATATGCTTTGCAATAACAAACACACAACATTATGAATGATAAAGTATGCCCGTACAATATTTCAACGCATGAGATGAATGCATAAAGAAGTGAACGCGAGAATCAACTGCAACAAAGCTGTTCAGCATAAACAGGACTTTACGTATCCAACGAAAGGTTACTTAAAAACTGAACAAATGATTCAGCTGTGTAAGCGTTTACTACTTCTTCAGGTAATTTATTCTATTGTGATGCGGAAAAAAGGAATACCGATGTATATTAAAATGCACGTGAACTTAAAATGCCACCGTCTTAAAACGCACCTGAACAAGCTCTGAAAATATGCAAAGGACGACCGCCCTG